GATCCCGCGCTCTGCCATCGGAAGGGATGGCTGTCGTCGCGGCTAATACTAGCGCTTCCGCGCGAAGGCCTTCGCACCAAAGAGGACGTACTGATGGTGACGTTCTTCACCGGCCGTCACACCCGTCTGCAGCACGTAATCGATTGGATACACAAACAGTTGGCCACTCGGGTGTCGCTCATCGACTCGGCGGACGACTTGCAGCGCAATTGGTTGCGCACATCGAAAGACGAAGACTTTGCGGACAACGAAGACAACGACAACAACAGCACTTCCATCTCGGCGTACAACGAGCTAAAACTCGTGTTCATATCATCGTTGGCGACTCCGCCGCTCATACTATCGGCACTCGCCATCAAATTCTCGGGTCGCGTGCGGTTCGGGTTCTTCCGGACGGACACCAAACGGAAGCGAACACTCGTCGCCCGACTCGACAAACGTATACCGAGTTATATCATCGCTCTGTCGGACCGCCACTACCACTACGGCTACAAAGCGGGCGAATCGCTGAAGTACTCGTCTATTGAGCTAATGCTGCGGACGCTGAGGCCCGAGACCAACGACCTGTTCCTCGTGACACTCATTCTGACCAATCTATCGCTCGGTCTTCACTTGTTTTGGATGAAGTGTTCGCGACTCTGGAAACACTTGATCTACTGGTTTATGACAGCAATCAAATACAATTGCATACTATTCCTGGTATGGCTAACGGCTGTCACACTCTATAACGTACCGCTGATGGCCACTGTGTGCGCGTACGGCCACCGGGTCTGCCAATGGCTGGCGTTGACACCTATGGCCACAATCTTGCGCTACGACTTCCAGTACAACTACAAGTGGACATTCTTGGCGGCGGCGTTCACGGCGTTCGGCCTATTGGTCGCTGTAGACGGGTGTGACGGCCGGTGAAGAACGTCACCATCAGTACGTCCTCTTTGGTGCGAAGGCCTTCGCGCGGAAGCGCTAGTATTAGCCGCGACGACAGCCATCCCTTCCGATGGCAGAGCGCGGGATCAACACTGCAGTCAAATATGGCGCTCCGGATGCCAAACCTCGAGCTCTTGTCCACAACTTTAGCCCATAGTTTACTGTCGATACGATTGTGACCACCGATGGCCACCACATTCACAATCCACGCGCTGTCTTTCGTGTCCTCCACCTCTTCGTACAGATGAGCGCCCGAAGAGAACCGATGGGAACCGCTCTTCTCGTGGTATAGATAATTGTCGACGTCATCAGCGGTCAGATCTGCGTCGACGGCGGCCGCCATATACTGGTGCTGTAGGTCTTCGTCGGCGCAGTCCATGAGTTGCCGTTCGGTGACTGGACCCGAATCGTCCACCAATTGGATCAGCTCTGGCCGCTCGAGTACGCCCTCGTAGCTGATCCCGCGGGCGTCCAACAGATACTTCAGTTGCCGTACACTCAGACCAACGGTGTTGAGGAATATGTGTGCGGAGAGCAGATCCGCGCCGTTGATGGCCATCATATCCATCACTCGCGACAGAAGAGCCACAAACACGAAGAATGTGGTGATTAGGATCAGCTTTAGCCACATCTTCACTGATGATGGCGTTGATTATTATCTGCTGTTATATTAATGTGTGGTTTAATGTCGTGATCAGAGGATCCAGCGATCAGCTGATGATCGGGTGATGTGTTGTCTCTGTCTTTGTCTGTGGTTTTGATGTAATTATTATTAAAAGTCTTTGTTTTCACTTTCGATACGACTTTTGATTACATTTTTCTTGTTTTCAATGTTTTTGTTTTGCTATTTATATGGGCTTTAATGGTGTGAGTCGTTCGCAAACACCGTTACCAACTGTTTGTTGGGTTTTTGCGTGAAAAATGCACTAAAATTACTGAACGTAGCGTTGCGTAACGTAACGTTATATACGAACACTGCTATATGTGTGTTAGGTATGGGCGGCGCACACCTCTACTCTCAGGCGCTCTACTCATGCAGTAGTGGTGTGTTTGGTGTCAGACATTAACAATACGTTTAGTTATGTTTAGTTAGCGTTTAATTACATTTAGTTATTAATTATTGACACCAATTGTCTCATTCATTGACTAACCTTTTGTGGCCACCGGTCGCGGACACCAAAGCCCCCGCGCGTGACGAGTGTCTGACACACACACGCATCACATCCACCGCTGAAGACATTGTTGACCACTTCTGGCGCGTGAATATCAGTAAAAACATGTCTAAAAGACGTATCGATTTGAACGATGGCTTCACGAAGAAGAAGTGAGTATTGGGATCAGCTCTGAGGTGACAGTTATTGCCAGAAATTGCGTGCTTAACGTGTTCTCTCTCTCCTTCTCTACCAGTCGTGCCGGCGATCATCACTCACACCACTCGGCGGACATCGACTCGTTGCTGAAGGACGCGAAGAGTAAAGCGTCGGCGGCATCGGGTCCCGGAGCGGGCGCCGCCACCACCACCGCCGGCATCAACGCGTGCACACAATTGCCGTTCAGTCAACGCTATTACGAGCTGTTCCGCAAACGCATCCAATTGCCGGTCTGGGAATACAAGGAACAGTTCCTGGAGCTGATCGACAAGAACCAGATACTGGTGCTCGTGGGCGAGACCGGCTCCGGTAAGACGACGCAAATACCCCAGTGGTGTGTCGAGTATTGTCGCGGCAAATGCATCAAAATCGGTGTCGCCTGTACTCAACCACGACGTGTGGCCGCCATGTCTGTGGCCACGCGTGTCGCCGAAGAGATGGACGTACTGTTGGGTCAAGAGGTGGGCTATAGTATCCGTTTCGAGGACTGTTGCGGACCGAAAACGCTGCTCAAGTACTGCACCGATGGTATGCTTTTGCGGGAAGCGATGTCCGACCCGCTGCTCGAGGCCTACAGTCTAATACTGCTCGATGAGGCTCACGAGCGAACGCTGGCCACCGATATACTGATGGGTGTATTGAAACAAGTGGTGACCAAACGCCTGGATCTGAAGATTGTGGTGATGTCGGCCACACTGGACGCCGGGAAGTTCCAGCAGTACTTCGACGACGCGCCGCTGATGAACGTTCCCGGGCGGACACATCCCGTCGAGATCTTCTATACGCCCGAACCCGAGAAGGACTACTTGGAGGCCGCCATCCGTACAGTGATTCAGATACATATGTGCGAAGAAGGAGAGGGAGATGTGCTTTTGTTTCTCACCGGCCAAGAGGTACGGTATAGTTGTGGCCACCGTTTTGTAGTGTTTGTGCGCTTTGGTGTCCCGATTGCGGCACCCGATAGCGTGAGGCCTAATTGAAGTCATAACAGCCCTATTAATGGCGGTTATGGTGTTCTTTAGGCCTATAGTAAAAACCATTGCTTTAAATACTTATATGTGTTTAAACTGCTGTTTTGAATGTGTTATACATTTAAACGCAAACATTTAATTGACTTTTAATTGAAATTATAATTTGTTTTTTAATTGAATAGGAAATTGAAGAGTCGTGTAAACGAATCAAACGCGAAGTCGACAACTTAGGACCAGATGTGGGTGATCTCAAGTGTATACCCCTGTACTCGACACTACCGCCGAACCTTCAGCAGCGTATCTTCGAGTCGGCGCCGCCGCCCAAAGCCAACGGCGCTGTCGGCCGAAAAGTGGTGGTCTCGACGAACATCGCCGAGACATCGCTGACCATCGATGGCGTGGTGTTTGTCATCGATCCGGGCTTTGCTAAGCAAAAGGTGTATAACCCGCGCATTCGGGTCGAGTCACTGCTGGTGTCGCCCATATCGAAGGCGTCGGCGCAGCAGAGGGCGGGTCGGGCGGGACGGACCCGTCCGGGAAAGTGTTTCCGTCTGTACACCGAAAAGGCCTATAAGACGGAAATGCAGGAAAACACTTACCCCGAGATATTGCGCTCCAATCTGGGAATGGTTGTGCTCCAGCTCAAGAAGTTGGGCATTCACGACCTTGTTCACTTTGATTTCATGGACCCACCGGGTATGGCACCAACACATGCCACTCATTCATAGCACCGCGAGTTTGGTGTTTAAGACTAGTTTGTAATTGTGTTTTGTTTTTGTAGCCCCGGAGACACTGATGCGAGCGCTGGAACTGTTGAACTACTTGAACGCGTTGGACGACGATGGTGAGATGACCAACTTGGGATCCATTATGGCCGAGTTCCCGCTCGACCCCCAATTGGCCAAAATGTTGACCGCTTCGTGCGATTACAACTGTTCCAATGAGATCCTGTCGATCGCCGCCATGTTGTCCGGTATGTCATGAGATTAACCACTACTTTGATGTCTATTTGATTATCAATGACTTGTTTCTGTTGACCATTAGTTCCGCAATGCTTTGTGCGGCCAAACGAGCAGAAGAAGGCGGCCGACGACGCGAAGATGCGGTTCGCGCACATCGATGGCGACCACTTGACGCTATTGAACGTTTACCACGCGTTTAAACAAAGTATGGGATCAATTGGAGTGATGTTTGTTTAGTTGATATTAACCGATGTCTTTGTGTGACCACAGATCATGACGACCCGAACTGGTGTTACGAGAACTTCATTAACTTTCGTTCGCTGAAGAGCGCCGACAACGTTAGGCAACAGTTGTCCCGAATTATGGATCGCTTTAATCTGAAGAGAGTGTCCACCGATTTTACGTCAAGAGATTATTACATAAACATTAGGAAAGCACTCATTTCGGGCTATTTTATGCAAGTATGGCATCGTTTTCACTATTCTTCCGGTTCTGTTGTTGCGATGTTTGACTCATTTGTTGATCACTTTTGTCCCGAAAAGGTGGCACATCTGGAGAGGACTGGCCATTACCTGACGGTGAAGGACAATCAGATCGTTCAGTTGCACCCGTCCTCCTGTTTGGACCATAAGCCCGAATGGGTTATATATAACGAGTTTGTGTTGACCACCAAGAACTACATCCGAACGGTGACCGACATCAAAGCCGAATGGTATGTGTTGTGACCCATTGAATGACATGTTTTAGTGTCTTGATTGTAAACTAATCCATACTTATGTCCACCAATGGCACCGATAGGTTGATCCGAATCGCACCCGTCTATTACAATATGGATAACTTTCCCCAATGCGAGGCTAAGCGACAGCTGGAATACCTGATTAGTAAACTACAGTCCAAACAATACCAAGTCTGACCTCTATTATCCCGAAACAACCGCCGCCCCCAACACCTCCCGACCCCCACCCGACTCTCACTTCACTTTAAACACTTGTGTTTACTATTAAGATATCATTTTGTTCTCAATGTTAACAAAACAAATCAAAAAGACATGTTTTAATTGTCTTTCAGATGTTTACCACAAATTAATTACAACTAATTTATTGTTAAAATCATTGGTTAAACGCATTCCTCATGAGTAACAAAAACAGAGCAAACAAATGGACAAAAAAATGAATATTTGATTGATTTGACTATTATTTCAATTGTTTTCTCTCTTCGTGTGACCACCGATTGATTTCACAGTCCATCGCATTTCCCATTAAAATACATAGATTTATAAATATATTGATTATTGAGTTATAATTATTATTATTTAATTAGTTATTAAATCAAATTTGATTTGATTTTTTTGTCATTTAAAATCTTTTTGTCTCACTTTTATAAGTATTTAAAATGATTGCAAAATTTAATAGAGTTTCAATGAATTACCATTAATTGACGGCAAAATTGTTTGAAAAAACACTTGTCTCTCATTTATTTCTCTGATATTTAATTTAATTAAATAAATAATTTTTACAATAAATTGCGAGCATTTAAATTAGTGTTATCTATATTTGTATACAATTATAAATATTTAGTTTCATTGAGCGCACGGTTTACCACCAATTATCTGTCCGGAAGGCAATTGTTTTATAGTATACTCGGTGTTGACCGACGGCCTACTGTCCACTGTCTGCCCATTACTGGTCGTACAGTCGGGCGCGTGTTGTTGGACCGGATAATCGTACCATTGCTTCACTTCATACTCGGGCAGCCGTTTCCGGTCGCGGACTTCAATCACTTCACCCATAATATAGCCAAACAAAAGGACCGCCGCTATTGTCGACAGTATTAGCCGCAGAACAGACATTAAAAGCAATACAATCGGTTCGAGGCGCCAGTCTTTGGACATAAATAAAGTGGTAAATTAATGACAATTACAAGACTTTTAGTGTATGAGTGGTTAGAGCACTGGTGGGAAAGGGATGGCCACTAATGGGCCGACACTTACTTATGTCAATGAAGGGGAAAGTGACGATCGAGAAGCGACTGATGAGTACGACTTCAACGGTGGCCAAAGCGATGGTCACCGCAATGGCCGTCAACAACATGTGGCTCGAGTTGCGGCCCTTATAGACAATTCTGGCCAACAGTTCCAGATAGAGATAAATGGCCACATTGTACAAGAAATACCACCAATAGTAGGCCCTATCCATCACGAGCTCTGTCTTCGGCGTAAACACAGACCGGGCGGCGATTCCCACAGATATGACAAACATCGGGATATGAATCAGTATTATTGCGATGAGAATTGTTCCGCCTTCTGGTGTCAATTGGATCAGATCTTCGCGCGTCGGGCGTATAGTGGCGTACGTTTTGGACATCATTTGCCGGCTTATATGCCGCGGCACTGAACGGCTTACGACCACACGAGGCTCACTCTGGGCGCCCGTATTGGTTGGTATGGCATCGGCTGTGTTGTGTTGGCCAGAGTCGCGGCTGCCGTCGTGGGAGAGCATCATTGGCGGCGGCGGTGATCGTCGAGACCGTCGTCGACGACGCGGTGGTGACCGACGGCGCGGCGATTGTCTCCCACTTCGCGGTCGACGAGTAGGCGATGCCGTTGTTTGTCTGTTAATGGTTTTCAATGAGTAAAACAACTGATTTGTTGAATTGATAACTAGTTTTGTGTCTTTATTTAATAATCTATTGATAGTGTTTAGCACTTAATAGAAGATAACGGTATAAATAGTTTGAAATTTAATTGAATTAATGGTTAAATTAAATGTATTGTTTTAGCGTGAATTTGACTAAATGCACATGGTAAATGCTTTTCAGTATTTTTTGTATTCATAATTTAGTAGTAATTTAGATATGAAAATGTTCAAGATTTGTAAATTCAATGATTGCATTGTTTATACACTATTTTACTGTACAGTATATTTGTTTACCCCTTATAATGAAAGAAATAATCTATTGGACAAACATTAGACAAAATATGTACAGAATATTCTGAAAATGAGATAAAACTTTTGAGCCCACTTTTGGCACTTTTGCCCTGGTACTTTTGCCCTGGTACTTTTGCCCTGGTACTTTTGCCCTGGTACTTTACTTTTGCCCTGGTACTTTTGCCCATGCACTTTTGCCCATGCACTTTTGTCAACGATTATGGCTATGAATGTCTTGAGACTCAATGGCATTACATTGTGGGCAATGACAAGAATATTGTCACTCAATTGGTCAATGGTTTGTCATTAAAGCCCAAGTCTTCGACACAAACCATGTCTTATACTTATTCTGCAAACCATTCAAATGTTGAGAAGAGGAGGAATGATATGTGTGTTTTGCAATGATTTTTACATTAATGTCATTTAATGGTCTGATTTTGGGAATAACCCGTAATTATTATAGCATTTATTGATTGAAGTATTAAAAAAGTGAACTTTTATTTCCATAGCATTTATTCACTCGATTTAAAGCCAACTTTTATTACAGAAATTGTTTTTTTAAATTTTGATTTGTATTATGATTTACAACTAATTTATTAAATTAGAAAATAAAATGCAATTTCTATTAAACATTTGTAAATGTCATCATTAATAGCGTTATCTAACAGTAGACGTGACGGAAACAGGGTTTGGGTTCACGTCTCGGGAGTGTCCTCTCGCGGGACTGTGTTTATAGTGCCTAATGTTGTGCTCATCGGGTTGTGGGCCGACCGTCGCATACCTGACCAAAATCACTGTCGCTATTATGAACATAATTAGCCGCAAAACACTCATCCAAATCAATACAATCGGTTCGTATCTCCAGTCATAATGTTGTGCTCATCGGGTTGTGGGCCGACCGTCGCATACCTGACCAAAATCACTGTCGCTATTATGAACATAATTAGCCGCAAAACACTCATCCAAATCAATACAATCGGTTCGTATCTCCAGTCTTAAGCAAAAATGAGACACAAAATCAAATAAATAATTATAAATTCAAGACTTGGAGGACTTGAAGGTCTGGAACAGGAGTTTCACTACTACTGGGCCTTTCATTAGGGAAGCGAACGGACAATAGGATCAAAGAGTATACAAACTTATATCGATGAACGGAAAGGTGACAAAAACGAGCCTGGTGGTCAGCACCAGCTCCACGATGGCCAACACCAGTGACAGACAGATGGCTACCATCGCGTTAGTGATTGAAATGTACGGCTTGAGAGCGGTTCCCGTCATGTAATTGGCGTAACAGACAATGAACAGAGTGTACAAGAAGTACCACCAATAGTCGGGCCGATCCATAGCCAACGCCGCGGGACTCACGAACACAGACCTCACCGTGAAGTACATGGAGGCCCCGATTATGACCGAATGTACTGTCATCAGCAAATAGATGACCATTTTGTGGCCATCGGTGAGCCGTACGTACGCTTCGGGATGTTTTTGATATTGAGATGTCGGCGGCGGTTCCGGATAGAGCTCCGCAATGGCCGTGGGTTTGACCCGATGTCGACCACCGCTGCCGCTGTCGGTGACACTCTTAGCGCTGGTGAGGTCGCTGATGGTGGGACTGCCAGAAGGAATGTCGGCGGCGGTTCCGGATAGAGCTCCGCAATGGCCGTGGGTTTGACCCGATGTCGACCACCGCTGCCGCTGTCGGTGACACTCTTAGCGCTGGTGAGGTCGCTGATGGTGGGACTGCCAGAAGGAATCTGATCCCTGTCCTCTTTGCTGTACTTCTGGGCGTCGAAACCCCTGGATTTAGTGGACTCGATCTGACTCGTGGCCACCCCTAAGCTGTTATGACTATTGCCCACCGCTTCAGATGACATCGTTGTCCTGTCTTAAGATATAGATATAATGAGATTATTTTTTTACCACAAAATAACGGTATTTTAATGTCAACAATAAATGACTGCATTAACTGTTGTAATGAACGAGAGTTTTAATTGAGTTTTAATTAAAACATTAATTAAAAACTAAATTCACGATAAGTTCAACACTGAAAACACAATTCAAAATTTCATTTCAAAAAATCAGTTATAATTTGTCACAAAATTTTTACACCAATCAATCAAATAGTAATTATAGTCACCGAAACACATCCATTGGACAGCGCTTCTGTCTATATCACTGTTAACACTTGTCTTTAGTCTGGTGTTTTACCCTTAGTTTAACTTCCGTTATGGTCTAGGCCTCTTTCACCTCTTCTTTCACCACTGGTAATTCAGCTGCTACTTTAATGGGCCGATTGACTGCAAAGAGAAGATCAAAGACAAGTCCGGCAAAACTGACTTCAAGACCGTTAAGCCCAAAGAGGACGCCCTGTCGGCGGCCAAAGCCGTGACCAACAAACGCATCGCCAGTCAGTTCGACGTCCAACAGATCGCCGACAAAGTGCGGGACGCCGTTGAGGCCAAAGACCCCAAGAAGTTATACCTCATCGGCAAAGGGCAGGA